GGCGCGTGTCTCGCGGGAAACATGGACGGCCAAAACAGGAATCCCAGAGGAACGCACGCGCATAACGATAAATGCCGCTCGGATAAGTTATTACTTTCCAGGGCTCAAGCAATGACAAACAAAAGACAAAAAAAAATCCATTTATCAGTTCTAGGGCTCTTTCATAAGCAGAGAAATAACACCTAACGTGTTTTCTTCCAAGGTATATATACCGTAGCACTTAAGAATGTATTTATTCCAAGCTGTTTAACAGATCAGAAATCATTTTCGCTGATAAAACCCTCATGTGGTTTTTAATCCGGTAAAGCCTACGGTGCGGCCATGTTTTCCAGGCAATCTGGGAGGACAGGAGCACATCCCTGCCGCATCCTTGGAAAGGGCCGCGACTCTGTGGCAGCGTCACAGACTGTCTCTCTTCACACACAGGTTCATGTGGGTTGACAAGGGAGGAGCAGGAATTAAGCTAAATGCATGGAAATCCCTTCAGCCCATGCCTAAGAGCATATTTAAAAGATTCAGTTGACTAGGACGCCAGGGCTTGTCAAATTTAAGGCTGCCCCTCCACAATCAACTCCACCAACAACCTTGAAGAGACCAAGCTTAAGGCTCCCATGTGTATCTATCCAGAGATTTAGTAATTGCAGTTACACAACATGAACTTTAGGACTTATTTCCTTGAGATTTTTATTTTACCTTAAAGTGATTCGGATAGAACTACATGGATTTCTCTGCACATTTTCTTCTCTAGTTTCAAGAGAGCAATTCTACAGAATACAAAGTCTTAGATATGGCTGAGATGATGCCGAAACCTCACACATAACAACTTCTACAATCTTAACTACAGAAAAGCACTGTTAAACAGTAAAGCAGAATTAAGTTTATATTTATGAAAATGCATGGAGGCTTCCAAGGACATTGGTTTTAATTAGTTTACATTTAAAAGTTAAAGAAGTAAAAATGTAAATACACAAAGTATACAGATCTTCACAGTTACCTCAGTTACCGCAGAGACAGGAACGGTGGTTAAAAACAATCAGTTCTAGAGCAAAGTCACCCACTAAACGGAAAATGCCAAAATATCGATGGTTTCAGCACCTGGAGGCAGAACTACTCCACGAGGATCGTGTCAACACTTTCCTGGATCAGATCAGACTCCAGAATACATGAATCTAAGTGCTCTTGAGACAGCGCCGAGCTCTTTGCCACGCTCTCGCTGTCACAGTACGGGCGGAACCGGGGCGTCGTGGGGCTCTCCAGCCGCTGGCAGCGGCTGTGCTTGTGCTGCTGCCCCTTGTGCGTGTACATGTGCTCCAGCAGCTGGCTCTTCCGGAAGAACGTGCGGCCACACATGCTGCAACTGATTTTTCTCTTTCTGGAGAAGGAAAAGTTGCAGTTGAGCTCCACTGGCTTGTGGTCCTTGGAGATGAGCGAGAGCTGCCCGATCTGCAGGGGCTCCAGGTCGCCGCGGCCCGGGCGCTCCACGGGCTGCTCGTCCTCGCGCAGGAGGAAGGCCCCGAGCCGGGGACCCTCGACGGCCTAGGCGCCCTGCGCCAGCGGCTGGCACCGCCCCCCGGAGC